ACAAGTAGACTTCTGGCTAGTATGGACCAGTACACTTCTGGTTGGTATGGATCAGTAGGCTCCTGGCTAGTATGAACCAGTAGACTTCTGGCTAGTATGAACTAGGAGGCTCCTAGCTAGCATGGACCAGTATACTTCTGGCTAGTATGGGCCAGTAGGCCCCTAGCTAGTATGGACCAGTAGACTTCTGACTAGTGTGGACCAGTTGACTTCTGGCTAGTATGCACCAGTAGACTCCTGGCTAGTATGGCCCAGTAGACTTCTGGCTAGTATGGATCAGTAGACTTCTGGCTAGTATGGACCAGTAGACTTCTGGCTAGTATGGACCAGTAGACTTCTGGCTAGTATGGACCAATAGACTTCTGGCTAGTGTGGACCAGTAGGCTTCTAGCTAGTATAGACTAATAGGCTTCTAGCTAGTATAGACCAGTAGGTTCCTGGCTAGTATGGACCAGTAGACTTCTGGCAAGTATGCACCAGTAGACTTCTGGCTAGTATGCACCAGTAGACTTCTGGCTAGTGTGGACCAGTAGACTTCTGGCTAATGTGGACCATTAGGCTCCTGCCTAGTATGGACCAGTAGACTTCTGGCTAGTATGAACCAGTAGGCTTCTAGCTAGTATAGACTAATAGGCTTCTAGCTAGTATAGACCAGTAGGTTCCTGGCTAGTATGGGCCACCAGTCTTCTGGTTAGTATGGACCAGTAGACTTCTGGCTAGTGTGGACCAGTAGGCTTCTAGCTAGTATAGACTAATAGGCTTCTAGCTAGTATAGACCAGTAGGTTCCTGGCTAGTATGGAGCAGTAGTCTTCTGGTTAGTATGGACCAGTAGACTTCTGGCTAGTGTGGACCAGTAGGCTTCTAGCTAGTATATACTAATAGGCTTCTAGCTAGTATAGACCAGTAGGTTCCTGGCTAGTATGGACCAGTAGACTTCTGGCAAGTATGCACCAGTTGACTTCTGGCTAGTATACACCAGTAGACTTCTGGTTAGTATGGACCAGTTGACTTCTGGCTAGTATACACCAGTAGGTTCCTGGCTAGTATGGACCAGTAGACTTCTGGCAAGTATGCACCAGTAGACTTCTGGCTAGTATACACCAGTACACTTCTGGCTAGTATGGACCAGTAGACTTCTGGCTAGTGTGGACCAGTAGGCTCCTGGCTAATATGGACCAGTAGACTTCTAACTACGTATGGACCAGTAGACTTCTGGCTACGTATGGACCAGTAGACTTCTGGCTACGTATGGACCAGTAGACTTCTGACTAGTATGGACCAGTATTCTCCTGGTTAGTATGGACCAGTAGGCTTCTGTCTAGTATGTACCAGTAGACTTCTGGCTAGTATTGACCAGTAGACTTCTGACTAGTATGAACCAGTAGACTTCTGGCTAGTATGGACCAGTAGACTTCTGGCTTGTATGGATAAGTAGACTTCTGGCTACGTATGGACTAGTGGACTTCTGGTTAGTGTGGATCAGTAGACCTCTGGCTAGTATGGACCAGTAGACTTCTGTCTAGTATGGACCAGTATACTCCTGGCTAGTGTGGACCAGTAGGCTTCTAGCTAGTATAGACCAGTAGGCTCCGGGCTAGTATGGACCAGTAGACTTCTGTCTAGTATGGACCAGTAGGCTCCTGGCTAACATGGACCAGTAGACTTTGGCTAGTATGAACCAATAGGCTCCTGGCTAGTATAGACCAGTAGACTTATGGCTAGTATGGATCAGTAGACTTCTAGCTAGTATGGACCAATAGGCTCCTGGCTAGTATGGACCAGTGGACTTCTAGCTAGTATTGACTAGTAGATTTCTGGCTAGAATGGACCAGTAGGCTTCTGTCTAGTATGGACCAGTAGACTTCTATCTAGTATGGACCAGTAGACTTCTGTCTAGTATGGACCAGTAGACTTCTGTCTAATATGGCCCAGTAGACTTCTATCTAGTATGGACCAGTAGACTTTTATCTAGTATGGACCAGTTGACTTCTATCTAGTATGGACCAGTAGACTTCTGTGTAGTATGGACCAGTAGACTTCTGTCTAGTATGGACCAGCAGACTTCTGTCTAGTATGGACCAGTAGACTTCCGTATAGTATGGACCAGTAGACTTCTATCTAGTATGGACCAGTAGACTTCTGTCTAGTATGGACCAGTAGACTTCTGTCTAGTATGGACCAGTAGGCTTCTAGCTAGTATGGACCAGTAGGCTTCTAGCTAGTATGGACCAGTAGGCTTCTAGCTAGTATGGACCAGTATGCTTCTAGCTAGTATGGCCCAGTTGACTTCTGTCTAGTATGGACCAGTAGACTTCTGTCTAGTATGGACCAATAGCCTTCTAGCTAGTGTGGACCAGTAGGCTTCTAGCTAGTATGGACCAGTAGGCTTCTACCTAGTATGGACCAGTAGGCTTCTAGCTAGTATGGACCAGTAGGCTTCTAGCTAGTATGGACCAGTAGACTTCTGTCTAGTATGGACCAGTAGACTTCTGTCTAGTATGGACCAGTAGACTTCTGTCTAGTATGGACCAGTAGACTTCTGTGTAGTATGGACCAGTAGGCTTCTAGCTAGTATGGACCAGTAGGCTTCTAGCTAGTATGGTCCAATAGGCTTCTAGCTAATATGGACCAGTAGGCTCCTGGCTAATATAGACAAGTAGACTCCTGCCTGGTATGGACCGGTAGGCCTCTAGCTAGTATGAACCAGTAGACTTAGCTAGTATGTACCAGTTGGCTTCTAGCTAATATGGACCAGTAGGCTTCTAGGTTGTATGGACCAGTAGGCGTCTAGCTGGTATGGTAAAGCCAAGTAGTGGGGGTTGGTAAAGGCAGGTAGTTAGTGGCTGAAGCTAGGCAGGTCCTAGTCACCTACTGTCACATGCTAGGCAGGTCCTAGTCACCTACTGTCACATGCTAGGCAGGTCCTGGTCACCTACTGTCACATGCTAGGCAGGTCCTGGTCACCTACTGTCCCATGCTAGGCAGGTCCTAGTCACCTACTGGCCCATGCCAGGCAGGTCCTAGTCACTTACTGGCCTTGTTAGGCAGGCCCTAGTCACCTACTGGCCCATCCCAGGCAGGTTTTAGTCACTTACTGGCCCTTGCTAGGCAGGCCCTAGTCACTTACTGGTCCATGGCCTTGAAAAGTGTCACACCTGAGCCTTGAGGGGCAAATGACAGGTCACTGGTGACAGGTGAGAGTTCACTTATTTCGTATTAAGATGAATAGAGATGATTAGGGAGATTGTTGAGGTGAGATAGACTGTGTCTGGTGACCTACTTCTGATTGGTCAAGTGAGATAGACTGTGTTTGGTGACCTACTTCTGATTGTTGAAGTGAGATAGACTGTGTTTGGTGACCTACTTCTGATTGGTCAAGTGAGATAGACTGTGTTTGGTGACCTACTTCTGATTGTTGAAGTGAGATAGACTGTGTCTGGTGACCTACTTCTGATTGTTGAAGTGAGATAGACTGTGTTTGGTGACCTACTTCTGATTGTTGAAGTGAGATAGACTGTGTCTGGTGACCTACTTCTGATTGTTGAGTGAGATAGACTGTGTTTGGTGACCTACTTCTGATTGTTGAAGTGAGATAGACTGTGTTTGGTGACCTACTTCTGATTGTTGAAGTGAGAGAGACTGTGTTTGGTGACCTACTTCTGATTGTTGAAGTGAGAGAGACTGTGTCTGGTGACCTACTTCTGATTGTTGAAGTGAGATAGACTGTGTTTGGTGACCTACTTCTGATTGTTGAAGTGAGATAGACTGTGTTTGGTGACCTACTTCTGATTGTTGAAGTGAGAGAGACTGTGTTGGTGACCTACTTCTGATTGGTCAAGTGGAATAGACTGTGCCTGGTGACCTACTTCTGATTGGTCAAATGGGAGAGACTGTGTGACTGGTGAGGTGCTTCTGAGTGCCAGGAAATGAACCTCCTCCACTGTTTTGGAGTGAATCTGATTGTCCGCTATTCTTGCAGCTGGTTGCATGACCCTTACGGGCTTAGCACTTCCCCTAAACATAATCTGGGGACCACGGAATGTCGAGGTTTGGATGACTCTCATCACACACACTTATAAAATTCAACCTTAAAGGTACTTACTTGTTTAATGTATTGTGTTTATCGCTCGCCACCTGTCTCACCAGCTGTGGTCACCTCAGCAACTGTGGCTACCGCACCAGCTGTGGACTAATCCTTCGTTTTCTCAAGGCTGTTACGCTCTCAGATCACAGCGCACTTCGACTTTTTTGTACATGTGTAAATTCTTTCATAGTTACCCCTAAAAATTATTATCAGTTACTGGGGGTCAGCGCCCCCGTGTCAGACGTCTTATATACGTCAGTTTTGAGTAATATTACGTCTTATATACGTCAGCTAAGAGTAATATTACGTCTTAGTTACGTCACTTAAGAGTAATATTACATCAGTTAAGAGTAATATTGTCTTAGCTAAAAACATTTTTGTTGACTTTTCTGAAGATGTTACCGAAATATGGCCTGGGCCGGTGTGTGTTCAGAGGGATTATGTGGATTAGCTAGGCCTGTAGGCCCAGGCTGGGCTGGCTGGCATGTCACGTGACTCAACAACACCTGGGGTACCAGTGACACACACACACACACACACACACACACACACACACACACACAGGTACTTACAATCTTAAGGGTTTAGCTTTATCAGAAACATCTCTGGCATTGGTGTCTGAGGAGGAACAGAAGGGAGAGAAGAAGAGGAATAGGAGGAAGAGAAGGAAGAGGAGGAGAAGAGGACAAAGGAGACTCTTAGAGAGAAAAGGTACATGCCAATTCATTTTGGGTATGTGGCAGGGGTATGTGAGGTTGTCTATGCTATGTCCACTTGATACCCAGGATACCACATGAGATACACCGGCTCTGTTTATACCAACATTTTAATACACACGTGTAAGACGCACGATAAATATAATTGTATAACACATTAACACTTCGCCTTAATAAAGTTCCTTTTTATTTAATGCAGAAACAGCTGTGAGAGGACCTGGCGCTGACCACACTACCTCTCCACCTCTGAGAATTTCCTGCTCCATCTACCTGGTTGATTCAGGCCCTGATTTACCGGGAGGCCTGATCAGAGACCGGGCCACGGGTAAGAACCAAGTTTGTGCAATGAAAGGTATAAAATACCGACAATATGAAAGTAAAGACACATGTGCAACATCTGGATATCTTTATTGTAGACGTTTCGCCATCCAGTGGCCTTATCAATACAAATTCTAGGACATAAATGGAAGACTGTAGAACTATATACAAAAGATGAGGTAATCAGTCCCTCAGCCTTGGAGTTAGTGTTCACAGCATCGTGGTGGAGGAGAATCTGTCCTGGAATTTGTATTGATAAAGCCACTGGATGGCGAAACGTCTACAATAAAGATATCCAGATGTTGCACATGTGTCTTTACTTTCAAGAACCAAGTTTAGAGCTGTGACTCGACCCCCTACTACCACAAACAGCTAAGTACACACACACTGTTTATAGTTATCAACCTGCTTGTGTTTATCAGCAAAGAGGCAGGGCCAAGAACTGTGAATCGACCCCTGCAATCACATATAGGTGAGTACATATAGGTAGTGAGTACACTCACAGAATAATGGTGGGCAAACTCCACGTTAAAACACACCATGCCTTACATCATGCCATCACCACCAATAAAAACAGGTGGTTTAACTTACCATGTGTGTTGTGGTTTAACACACACGTACGCTATCCCCTCTCCATCTATTTATATGGAGTGGAACATCTGCCGTCACATAGTGTGAAGGAGGTTAAAGGAATGGATCAGTAAGACCATGGAAAGTGTGGGTCATATAACCAAAAGGTCCACTAAGTGGGCTAGTGTGGGCATATAATCAGAGGCTAGAGTGAGTAGGCTGTTAGGGGAACTAACAGTAAACCAGGCAGGATGTACACCAGTGTATACACACGTAAACTAAGATTCTACACCACTGTTAACACTGTCAGATCAGCACTGACATCACCACAGTGGAAATAGTCATATTGTCCTTTTTTTTGGGTTATCCTGGTGGGTAATTTACACTATGTATGATAATTATACTTATGTGTACCTGTGCTAAACTTACACCACTATCACCAGTGTACATAGCCAAGAATACTTCAATACCATTTTAAGGTACTGAAGTAAGTTCTCGGTGTATATACACCGAGAAGTATGCATCTCTCGGTATATATACTCTTGTGTCAACCACCAGAAAGGATAGATAGACCTTTCTGACTGATGACTTGCTGACGAAGTAAAGGGGTAACTCCTGTGTTTAACACGCGGGTCATTGGTGTTGTGACTAGCTGTTTAAAACTGCCTCCTCAGACCTCGTCATCACCCACAAGGCTGAGTTTTTGCTCGCCATTACGAGGTTGTGTTGTAGGTTTGAAGTGTGCCCTGCTGGAGGTCAACACCTCTCTAACATTCTCTTAAAGGAAAAAGACACTTATGTACAGTTCAGGACATTTATTAAAGGAAACGTTTCGCCACTCGTGGCGAAACGTTTCCTTTAATAAATGTCCTGAACTGTACATAAGTGTCTTTTTCCACATCTTGTCGGTATCACCATACCATTTCCTCATTCTCTTAAAACTGGGAGGGAATCCAACCCGACACTGCGCGAGGCCAAACTGAAACTGAACCTTGAATACCGTAGACAGACTGGTTATAAATGACCATAATTTTTAAAGGGGTGGACCGGTAAGCCAGCGGAAGGCCTCGGTCAGATGACCAAAAGCTCCAAAGGCGGGTCATCATCTGACTAAGACCCGCGTCAGGAAACATTTGTCCTGTTTCCTGACGAACCTTACCTAACCTAACCTAACCTAGCCTAACCTAACCTAACCTAACCTAACCTAACCTAACCTAACCTAACCTTGAATACCGTACCTAAAATATTGTTTATGGTGTACCTGGAGGGTGTTCCGGGGGTAAACGCTCCCGCGGCCCGGTTCTTGACCAGGTCTCGTGGTGAATCAGGACCTGATCAACCAGGCTGTTACTACTGGTCGCACATAGTCCAACGTACGAACCACAGCCCGGCTGGTCAGGTACTGACTTTAGATATCTGTCCAACTCCCTCTTGAAGGCTGTCAGGGGTCTGTTGGTAATCCCCCTTATGCTTGGTGGGAGACTGTTGAACAGTCTTGGGCCCCGAACACTTATTATGTTGTCTCTTAGTGTATTAATGGCGCCCCTACTTTTGATAGGAGGGATGTTGCACCGTCTGCCCGGTCTTTTGCTTTCGTAGTTTACCTGGAGAGAGTTCCGGGGGTCAACGCCCCCGCGGCCCGGTCTGTGACCAGGCGATAGTGAGTGCTTTCTGTGTGTAGATTTGGAACCAGTCCCTCTATGATTTTCCAGGTGTAGATTATGATGTATCTCTCTCGCCTGCGTTCCAGTGAGTACAGGTCAAGTGTTCCCAGTAGTTAAGGTGTTTGATATGTGCAGTAAAGGTTCTCTGTACATTCTCAAGATCTGCAATTTCACCTGCCTTGAATGGAGCTGTTAGTGTACAGCAGTATTCCAGCCTAGAGAGAACAAGTGCTTTAAAATAGATCATCAAGGGCTTGGCATCCCTTGTTTTGAAGGTTCTCATTATCCATTCTATCATTTTCCTCGCGGATGCGATAGTGACACTCTTGTGATACTTAAATGTGATGGTACCTAAAATACTGTTTTGTTATGGTACCTATAATACTGATAATACCTAAAATACTGTTAGGGTACCCAAAATACTGTTTGTTATGTACCTAAAACAGAGGGTTGGTTGTGGTACCTTAGAGAGTTCAATACGGTACCTTAAAAAGAGTTCAATACGGTACCTTAAACAGAGTTCAATACGGTACCTTAAAAAGAGTTCAATACGGTACCTTAAACAGAGTTCAATACGGTACCTTAAGCAGAGTTCAATACGGTACCTTAAACAGAGTTCAATACGGTACCTTAAACAGAGTTCAATACGGTACCTTAAACAGAGTTCAATACGGTACCTTAAACAGAGTTCAATACGGTACCTAAAGCAGAGTTCAGTACGGTACCTTAAGCAAAGTTCAATACGGTACCTTAAACAGAGTTCAATACGGTACCTTAAACAGAGTTCAATACGGTACCTTAAACAGAGTTCAATACGGTACCTTAAACAGAGTTCAATACGGTACCTTAAACAGAGTTCAATACGGTACCTTAAATAGAGTTCAATACGGTACCTTAAACAGAGTTCAATACGGTGTCAGTTATCGCTGGCCCTATAATGCAAAACAGCATCAATACAGTGTTATAATTGACTGAACATCAGTAAAAGGGTGTAATTAAGACTTTATATGTTGAGTATGTGAAAGTCGGGGAGGTAGTGTTGAGGATATAGTGTTGGGGAGGTAGTGTTGGGGAGGTAGTGTTGGGGAGGTAGTGTTGGGGAGGTACCACACGAGAGGGGAACCCACGCTAAACACTTACAGCTGGTCCTGATGAATGACTCCCCTCCCCAAGCACTCTGGGGAGGTTGTAACCTTCACTTACTTTCCTCCCCACACACACACGTCTCCCCACCCCGTCTCTATCCTATCCACACCTTTATTTTATACTAGTGACAATGACCAAAGTATACTGGTGACAGCGACCAGGGTATACTGGTGACAGCGACCAGGGTATACTGGTGACAGTGACTATGGTATACTGGTGACAGTGACCAAGGTATACTGGTGACAGTGTCCATGGTATACTGGGGACAGTGACCATGGTATACTGGTGACAGTGACCAAGGTATACTGGTGACAGCGACCAGGGTATACTGGGGACAGTGACCATGGTATACTGGTGACAGTGACCATGGTATACTGGTGACAATGACCAAGGTATACTGGTGACAGCGACCAGGGTATACTGCGGACAGTGACCATGGTATACTTGTGACAGTGACCAGGTTACTAAGCCCGTGCAGGTATACTGGTGACAGTGTCCATGGTATACTGGTGACAGTGACATGGTATACTGGGGACAGTGACCATGGTATACTGGTGACAGTGACCAAGGTATACTGGTGACAGCGACCAGGGTATACTGCGGACAGTGACCATGGTATACTGGTGACAGTGACCAAGGTATACTAATGCCAGTGACGAAGGTATACTGGTGACAGTGTCCATGGTATACTGGTGACAGTGACCAAGGTATGCTGGTGACAGTGACCAAGGTATATTGATGACAGTGACCAAGGTATACTGGTGACGGTGGCCAAGGTATACTTGTGACATTGACAAGGTATACTAGTGACAGGGACCAAGGTATACTAGTGACAGTGACCAAGGTATGCTGGTGACAGTGACCAAGGTATACTAGTGATAGTGACCAAGGTATACTAGTGACAGTGACCAAGGTATACTGGTGACAGTGACCAAGGTATACTGGTGACAGTGACAAGGTATACTAGTGACAGTGACCAAGGTATGCTGGTGACAGTGACCAAGGTATACTGGTGACAGTGACCAAGGTATACTGGTGACAGTGACCAAGGTATACTAGTGACATTGACCCAAAGGATATGGTGACTTGAAGGTATATGACAGTGACCAAGGTATACTGGTGACAGTGACCAAGGTATACTGATAACAGTGACCAAGGTATACTGGTGACAGTGACAAAGGTATACTGGTGACATTGACAAGGTATACTAGTGATATTGACAAGGTATACTGGTGACAGTGACCAAGGTATACTAGTGACAATGACCAAGGTATGCTGGTGACAGTGACCAAGGTATACCGGTGACAGTGACCAAGGTATACTGATGACAGTGACCAAGGTATACTGGTGACAGTGGTCAAGGTATACTTGTGACATTGACAAGGTATACTAGTGACAGTGACCAAGGTATACTAGTGACAGTGACCAAGGTATGCTGGTGACAGTGACCAAGGTATACTAGTGATAGTGACCAAGGTATACTAGTGACAGTGACCAAGGTATACTGGTGACAGTGACCAAGGTATACTGGTGACAGTGACAAAGGTATACTGGTGACAGTGACCAAGGTATGCTGGTGACAGTGACCAAGGTATACTGGTGACAGTGACCAAGGTATACTGTGACA